CAATGTTAAAGAGTTGGAAGAGTCTAAATTGTTGGTGAGTGTAAAGAAAGTGCACCAAAAGGAAGGCCAACAATGAGTTGGTAACCCAATTCTTTGATATGAATTGTTTCTTGTATCATTATCATTTTACCTCCATCTGTTGTAACATCATTACATTACATTGCAATTTATAAAGATTGGTTTCATTTGTCGTGGCTTTGTTCGACTTTGCTTCTTTAAATAACCATAATTATGCGGATGAGCAAATGGTTCTAGTTCTATACAAAGTAAAATCTGTAGCTGATTTTGAACGATTAGAAAGACACATTGTGTTGAATTGAATCGAGATGAATCTGAGTATTCTTCATTTTATCGTATCAAAACTAATGTCCATGGATAAACATTGCATTTACTTTGGCATTACTACTATCATGTTGGTTGGTTGGTTGGTTGATGACCACCTCTGAAGCATGTACCAATTTGAAACTGGCCTCTACTTTGAGAGTTTTCTTTCCGTTGCTTGGCCTCTACTTTGAGATACTGAATTTTAGATTCCTTTTTCTATTTATTCATATAGTTTAGAATGACATAATTCTTTTAGCTGCTCCACATATACTGACAATGCTAGTTTGGGAATGATTTTGTATGTTTCTGCTGTCAAGTAACCCTTAATGGAAACTTGCCGCCACAACATTTAATGTCGACTTGTTCTCTCTTTGTGGATGAGGCATTCCTGTTACATCTATCTATTCTATATGATAGGATGAGGTTCATTTTGTGTAGTTCAGGGAAAAGCCAACAGTTGAACTCACTCTATCTTATGAAACTATTTAGCTGCAGGGTATGGAAAGGTTCATTCTTATACGGGTAAATATCTGTTTGTATTGGTGATATTATATCAATATGATGTCACAGAATCTTGATATAACCATCCAACAGCAAAAACCATGCGACCTTTTTGTATGTCATGACAGACAGGTCTTGGTTAATATAGCTGCTGCATTTGTCTCAAAGGATGAAACAAAAACTAGGAAGATAGATTACTTGCATGAGTGAAAAACTTTGTTCCTTTCAGTATTTCTGCAAAGCCAAGTTTACACTAAGGTGTAGAATTAAACATTTTTCTCTCAAAAAATAGGCTCGATGCATTTATTATGACTATTTACGAGCTGTATAGTCCCACCAATACACTGCCTCTCTGGTCTGACCTCAAACACGAACCGGTGGGCATCATCAAGCAGTGAAGCCATTTAATGGATGCAATAAATATTCTAGAAATGTCCCTGACCTCTAGTACAGAGATTTTATGGAGGTGGTTTGCTTTTGAACAAACCACACTTCCATTCAATCATTCATGAGACCTACCGCTCAATGGTACTCTGTTTTTCCAATAAGAAATTTGGAAGTCAAAGGCATGTTGTTGTAGATATGTTACAAAATATATCTATCTTCATAATCAAGGAACATAGATACACTCTTTATGAATATGGAAAATACACAGCATTAGTCGTTTCAGGTCTGGCTTTCATTAAAAAACTTCCTTGAAAGCAAGTTTAAAATACCGCTTGAATGACGATAATCGGATTGTATTTTTCTAGTTTCACCTTCGATAGGCCTAAATCTCGCCTTCAACTACTAGAAGAAAAATTGGAAAGGGATTTGAACCATTCACCTTCCATGCTTAAGGTTAGGGTATAGGGTTTAGGGCCCTAAACCATCAGGAAAGAAGAGGATTTTCAAAGAACAAGATTTTTTCCCCGTAAAAAAATTCTCTGATAATGGTTAACACTCCACCAACAATAAAATAAATGAGAAAAAATTTTATTTATTAAAATTTAAAATCTTACACATGTCACTCATCTAATACTATAGTAAGAGGAATTGAAAATAAAGGGTAATGAAGAGGATCCGAATCCAAAAGAAAAACGCAATCAAACTAATATAAAATAGAATTTTAAAAGGGACCCATATGCTCCTCAAGTACTTTTGGGTTCGGAAAAATCCGGCCCACCAAAGAGCCCAAATATTGTTGAGTTTAACCTGTCCCAAACCCAGCCATCATCACAATTGGGCCAGTTCTAAAATGGCCCAACAATCAGTTTTTGACATTCGGTTGAGGTTACAGCTTATGTATACTGGGTTATCAGATTCATCAGCCTGTCACCTTTCATCCGAAACACAAAAACCCTGAACGAGGAGTAAATATTGAATGCAAATATCATATCAATAATACTGACGTAATATCACCAATCAATAATAAATTACTAAGTAGGCAATGTAAACCCCACTTGGATAAATGTTTTTAGACTCCATTTATTTATTTATTTATTTTGTTACTTGAAAAAAAAAAAATTAGTTGGTAATACCATATCAGTATTACCGCATAGTATTTTTTTCCTCAAGAAGGAGGCAGCCCATTTGGAATCTTAGCATTATTTTTGAGTGTGTGACTGTGTATGTTCTGGTTGTAGCACTGACACTGCCTGCTAACCTTGCTCAATTAATAGATATCTATTTATATTTATATCTAACCTCTTAACAACTGCAAACATATTAATCACAGTAAAAAAATTAACCATAATTGTTTCTTATTCACAATAAATATTCTAACTGCTCACTCATGCTTTAACCATGAAAAAAAAATAAAAAATTGCGTGTTTTGCACATGATACCCTAATATGTATAATAAAACACCTAACAATTTAAGTTTTTATCCTACATATTTTTCTTCTGAAAAATATTACATCATTCATTTCTACTACATGCTCAATCATTTAATATTTAATTAATTTATAATTTAATATAATTTTTATTTCAAATATTATCTATACACGATAATATATACATGTTAAGAAAATTTAATATGGTGGGATCAATTTTTTAGATGCTCGAATTTTATGTTCAATCATGCCTTTAGGCACGGGTTTATTGATATTTAAAGAAGCTATGAATATTGCTAGAAAAATAAACAGATTAGTTCTCATGCCATATTTGTGGATGGGCTTACTACCTATAGGTGGTAACTAACCATACCGTATTTAAAGATAGAATGATTGCTCTTAAAAAAAAAAAAAAAGTGATGGACTCTTAGTGTTGAAATCAATATAACACGCAACTCAAAAAAGAGCAAGAGCAAGGCGCAATATAGGCACAAAGGCTTTTTGACAGTGGTAGTGCAGTAACTCATGCATAAAAGGAGATAAAACCTTGGTTCTTTGCTTATAGACCGTGGTGGATTAGACTCAAAGGGAAGCTAAGTTCGATATCGTTCACAAATGAGGCATAGATTATTGGGTATAACATATTTGGGAATCTCATATCAGATAAAAAAAAAAGAAATTAATAAAAATATCCTAATATATATATACTATAGATGAGTTCAGTATTTATAGACTTATACTTTCACTATTTATAGACTAATACTTTTAGGTGAGTATAAGTTTCATTAAGCTCCACTGTTTGGGGTAAATTGACATTTAAAAGATATTAAACGGCTTCTAAAAGTTTTAGCATTCACAATAGATCAAAATATTTTTTGAATAATTATACTTTTTACAATTATAACTTATACACCAAAAAATTATAATTTAATCTTAAAAATTTTATAATTTTTGATGCAATACCTCTTTTAATTTTGTTGTTTTCCTCCAATAATTTATATTGTCTAAGTTTTTCTAATTCAAAGAAGGAGGGACTTGGAGAGGTGGAGGAGCCATAAATTCCCAGCCCTTTGATCATTTAAAGCTCAAAAGCAAACATTTTACAACCAACCTCTCTTCTCCATATATATATTTTGACTGGTTTTCATGCTTAAGAAATTTCAATGGAGTGCAATAAAAAGAGCTCAATCAAAGCGATAAGGATAGACAGGAGTACTTCTAGACGACAGCCACAAATACAAATGAGCTGTAATGTCGAGAAACTTAGTGTGTTCCACAGAGAGAGAGAGAGAGAGAGAGAGAGAGCCCACATGTTCCTCCTACCGGAAAAAGAATAAACCACACATGAGACCGAGATTTGGATCATTTTTTTTCCGACAGCTTCGTGGCTCGACTAGTCTTTCTCCAACATGTACATGTTCGTAGTTCACTGTGTTAAGTTTCCACACGCAAATTCTCTTCACCTAGACTCACTCCCAAACTCTCTGCATATTCTTCTCAGACTCAGCATTATAGTATTTTTATAACCAGATTTTGACTGTGTTTTTTTTTACTAGCTGTATTCCATGTCCTGTACAAGCCCCCATCTCTCTCATGGTACACTTCTGCATGTGTTTGACTTTTTTAAGTATGATATTATGGCTGTAAAATACATTATTCCAGAATAATTTATAGATGCAGTATAGATTTAAAAAAGGCTTGTAATTAATTAACTATGTAAACGTGATTAATTATGACACACTGATGAACTGAAATGAAACACTTCACAATCACAATATTGCAATGCAAAGACCATGCAATTAAAACAACTGTTTGATTTTCCCACATTCAAAACAAAGAGTAATAGGAATCAAACTTGTGGAAATAGGAAAATATTGAAGAAGATGGAAGTTCATGAACAAAGAAACACAAGAAACTGAAAAATCAATGACTGCAAAAAAAAAAAACAATATAGACAAGATTACAGAGAGAGTAGTGGGAGGGTAATTAATGGAGGACGAGGTATGAGGGAGGGACTAAGGAGGAGAATGTAGTGTCTAGTAGTACCAGAACCCGAGTACAACTGAGCCAGTATTCCCACGATTAGATCCATCCCCTATGCTGACATCTGTCCACAACTTCTATGACAGCTTATTATAAGCTCCAAAGTCCCATATGCATATGTAATTGGAGGTTTGAGTGAAGTAAATATGAGAGAGAGAGAGAGAGAGAGCCACAGGTAATGCCCACGGGGAGAAGAAGAGATGACGACAAATGTGAAGAGACTGAAAATGCAGCCTTTGCATGTCAAACACGTCTGAGTTTACTTGGAATGTACTCGGTCCTTGATGAGAATATGATAGTAAGACTCTGAATAGAGCTTCAGCCTGTTAGATTACCTACAATTTATTAACAAATATAGCAAAATAGATCCATTAGATCTAAAACAAAGTTCCAAAAATAGAACAGCTTAAGCTTAACATCTAAAACTAAAATTAAATATGAGAAATAAGCATAAATAAGTGAACTGCAGTTAGATAATGCTTAGATCGAGCAATGGTTCATCTTAAACTGATCATAATTCAGCATACGAAAGAGATACAATAAAAACAACAAGTGAAAAATCAAATAAGAACTAAAAAGAAAAGAAACGGAGGTCAATGAAAAAGATTAAGAACCCTAACTAAATCTTAATCTCAAGTGATTTAGGGTGATTCATGGTGCTGAGTCTGATGGAAGATAAATCACAAAAGAGAAACGTTTCGTTGTGCACCAAAAGAAGAGCAATGGAAATTAGGGTTTTTTACCGAGTGTGTGCTTGTTATTGTGCATCCAAACCTTGAGGACTTGTCGCCTTACATTAGTCTCTGTGCAAAACTGCTCCACCGCAGCTTCGTCTTGTTTCTGGATGCGCCACCCCAAACTCTCCGCCAAAGCCAGCATCTTGTCCTTCTGCTCCTGCGTAAACTTGGTCCTGAACCGCTTCTTCGAACCACCGACACCACTTCCACCACCGCCACCGCCACCGCTACTACTAGGATTAGACACATCTTCGTCTTCTCTAGAGGTGGAAGGCAGTGCCAAAGGCCTGTGTTGTGATGGTGGGGTCACGTGGAGGTAACCAGATGGATGGGCGGTGCGGTGATAGTAAGTTGAAAATGGCTGGTGGTGTGGTGGAGGTTGGTGGTGGTGGTGGGGTTGATGAAAACCCTCGCCTTCCGTCTCTTTGCGGTGGAAGTTACGGTGGCAATTGCAAGCAGCGCATTTCAAAGCGTCTAATGTTCCTTCTTCTCCGGCAGGCATGAACTCTCCGCAACCGTCCACGGCGTGTCCACCGATTCCCACGGCGTGGTTCTTCAGGCACTCTCTATACCTGTAGCCACCTCCACCACCGCCCTTTCTCGCCGGCGTCGATGCACCCTCTCCTCCACCCAATTTTTCCCTCCCGGAGCTTCCCAGTGTCTGGTAATTTCCCTGCATCTGAATTCCAATCTCCTCTTCTGGTCTTGGCCTTCATGCTCATCAAAATCCATTTTTTCTCAACACCCAACACTCAAACTTCCTCTAGAAAATCAAAAGAACAAAGATCTACATCGGTGGTAGATCAGGAGATCCACCACCACTGCGACAGGCTATACATATGTATAGCTCAAAAAACCATACGTCATATAAGTATGTTTATCAGGATAGGGATTAAAAAAAAAATTGATAATTGATGCGGCTGTTCTGAGATGAAGAAGATAAGAGAGGCAGAGGAGGGTGTGGACATCAATTACCCGCCTGCACAAAAGGCTTTTGATGTGCTTTCCATTTCTGAAATCTGTGTCTTTTCTCTCTCTATCTCTCTTTGTCTCAGCCCTAATTATTATCAATTTCGTACGGTAAATCAAAGCGTTGAGATTACCGGTAGTTGGCGGTAATTTGTGTTCCCTGAGGCCAAAGCATCTACTGTTTCGATAATTATTTATTTATTTATTTTTGAGAAGGTAATAATTTGTTTTGGATTAAATCCAGTGATTTGTGGTAAAAGAGGAAGAGGGTCTGATATTTACTTTTTCAGTAAGCACTGCAAGGGAAATGATCAGGTGGCGTGTCTGGTCAATATAATGACGTAGGAGCGTACTAAAAAACATCTGTTTCCCAATTATAAATGTTTTTCTCGTTTGTTTTCTTGCATAACAAAATTTGGTGCAAGAGATATCCGCCGTAACGGTTATATTTTGTCAGCGTTGTTTTACATATAATATAATTTTTTTTTAAATTATTTTTTAAAAAAAAGGTAGAGAAAGACTTAAATGTTTGATCTCCAAAAAAAATAAAATATTTACAAAATAAAGAATATCACACTTAAATAAACCACAAACCTGGTCGACCAGGTTTTTGTTTGTGAGGTTTAAAAATTAGTCATGGAACTCGCCCTAATATGAACCCTTTTCATTGAACAGGAGAAGGTTGGTAGTTATGGGTTCTTCCCTCTCATATACTTCCTTACATATTTGATTGAGAGAGAGAGAGAGAGAGAGTGATGAAATTACATTGTTACCCTGATCCTAGAGAGATTACACAGAATGAGATATAAGTTGTCACTATGCTGCAAGTGTGTCCTAATTCCACCTTTCTATCTTGGATTGAGTCAATGGATTAGCTCGCATGTAATCCACAGGGTGGGTTGGTTATCATGTTTCCGAAAAATCCCACTCAAAGGAGTGGGGTTATCATGTTTCTAAGCACACACTAAGTTTGGTGCCTATTAAAATTGAATAAAACTGGATTTGGAACAAAATAAAGCATGTACAAGTAGAATAGCAATTATGCCTTGTAATTCATTAATCAAGCTTAGGCTTTTGGTAATCTTATCCTCACACGTGATATGAATTGTACCAACATGTCAAAGTGAGTGAAAAATACAAATGTCCAAACCACATTGGTTTGACTTAAGAGAGAAAAGAACCCATGACTTTACTCCAAACAAAATTAGAGATCTTTCAAAAGCAATTCCCAATATTTACAGTAGTCCTACTCACCCCCCCCCCCCCCCCTCCACAGGACCTGACATTGACTCCCATGCACACTCGGACGCACATGTACACACCAACACGTTCATCCAATTAGTAAGCTAGAGATAAAATTAAAGTTTAATTTGATGAAACTAAATTCTAAATTAAATAAATTGAATGTTATTTTGACTTTAATTTGACAAATTAAATTTTAAAATGTTAGTATGATGAAATTAATATTTGAATTAATGAAATTAAATGTTAGTTTGGTTAATTGGAAGTCAATTTGGGCAGACCGAGAGAGAATTAGTTGAGGTGCGCCTATAAAAAAATTTAAAATTTGGGTAGAAAATGAAATATAAAAAAAAATTGAGGTGTGCGTAAGTTGGCTCGGATACCCTTGACTGTTGAACCGGAAAAAAAAAAATCAATTTGTGGTGTGAGTAATACTACAAATGAGGATGGGTATTTGTTAACCTTAAAACATCTAATTCTTATTTTATTATTGTTATTATATAATATATATTTGTGTGTGTGTGTGTATGAGTTATTTTACTATGAGTAAATTATTTAATAAGTATTTAATCAAATATCAATAAAATAATAAATATAGGACATAATCTCGTTAAACAAGTTTTTTTTAATCGTACTTAGGGTTAAAGAGTAATTTAGTAAAATTACAATCTTCGTTTAGATGATTAACCGACGTAATCTAACAAGGGTGACAATGACAATTCATAATTACCTTAAAGGGTAATTCAAAAAAATCACAATCTTCGTTTAGTCCATTCACCGACATAATCTGACGGGAAATGGTTGTGACAATTCAAAAACGAGAAGCAGTGTCCATGCAATTACGCCAATCTCGAGGGTTTGTGAGTGAAATTTAACCTTTCGATTTGTATTCTTTAAAGTACTCAAATTTTAAAAAATTAAACTTGGCTCAACTTGAATAAATTGCTATTTATAATTATTTTAATTCTATTGCCAGGCAATTCATATTCAACAACAATCCAAAATTTATCTCAAAAAAAAAAGTAATATATTATTTTCTCTCTTAATTGATTTTTTAAAAATGGAATCACTGTCGTATGAAGAAAAAATATGCAAAAAAAAAACTCACAGATAAAAAATTTGTTTAAAACAAGAAAAAACTTAGTTAAAGAAAACGTTACTAGTAGTGTATATATACATATATATATCAATGTACGCATAGAAATTGCAATTTTTTTTAATAATTGTATGGTTGAAAAACAGCAAAGTAGTTTTTTAAAAGCAGTTTTTTATTTTTAAAAATATTTTTCTTAGTCCTTTTTTTGCTTTAATTTCTTGCTTCTTTTTTTTGTCGGACCTTATTTCTTCCTTGTAATGTTAATTTTATATATATTAACCTTCATAGACCAAAATTTTTACTATCAATGGAGGTCAAATATATGATCAATTATGAATTATCTTAATCAGTTATAATTTTCTTTTGTAATGAATAACTTGAACTTTAACAATTATAATTTTATATTTAAAAGTTATATTTTTTATTATCACTCACAATATTATAAGATGAATTATAATTTTTTGAGTTATATTTAATTTACAACCATTTTGAATTGTAAACTTAGACGCTTTTGGAGTGAGAGCTTTAGTTATTTATTTTCAAGTAATGGTATGTTTATCAAATTTTAATCTCAAATGATGTGACACAGTTTTTCACCATTAGATGAATGAGTTTCATTAATGTTTAATGACGAAAATTGTGTCATATTATTTGGGATAGAAGATTTGGTAAGAAAATTTGATAATTATAATATTTTTCTTTATTTTCTGCTGGTTATCATTCAAACTTTCACAAAAACAAGTCTCCAATAGTGCAATCACAAAGAAACGTCTTCTCAAAAAAGAGAGAGAATGGGCTTTGAGTGATGAAGAATGGACAGAAGTCCATGTGCCACACTGGCAAAAAGCAAGAGAAAAACTTGCATTTATGCTTCAACATTTGGAAGCAGATAGGAAAAAGAGACGAGAGAGAGAGAGGGACCATGGATGAGGGTTGGTGTAGTCGCAGACGTTGGATCGAACACTGAGTTGTCGGCATTTTATGGCTGCCTCCTACGTGCCCCCATCTCCGACATCCATGACGATCTTCTACACATCATCACTTGGATATTTGTGGACTTTGGTACTAAAGATTTATGCCATCAAACATTTATAATTTTTATGCGTCTACAATTTTTTGAAATCTTGTTATAAGCGAAGGAATTAAGATATATATCAAAATACTCTCGAGGTGGTGGTTCAGTGAGATATTAATCGAACGTCTCACTCTATGGTTGGAGGTTGGAGGTTCAAATTTTAAAATTCATATTGAGACTCGGTGATTAGTTGTTATACTAGTCTACCTAGGTTCATTTTCAAGAAAAGTAACGTACACAATCAAAAACCTCATGATCCCACCAGTTAAGATCTCTGAACGCTCTCCTCCCCCACCCCTTGAGAAAAAAGGAAGATAAATCACAAAATATTAATATCAGTTATGAATATTTAGGATCAATTATAAAAAAATTAAATTTTATAAATAATCTTAAAAAATCATACAAATAATAATTAATAGGACAAAAATAATAATTGTTGTGGAACTTGAATGTGGCATACCTAGTTGCACACTGATTTTGTATGGTTTTGCTGAGGTTTTCATTCTCAAATTAACATATAATGCAAGAAAATTTGTATTTGTTATAATATTCTACTTGTGTCCGTTATTAATAGGACAAAAATGGGTGTTATTTTTAGTATGCGTAAAATTCACCAATTTCATACATTAATTAATATTAAAACTTTTACATATCGTTTGCCAATCCCCTTCGTTTGACTGACTCTGTATATGACACGAATACATATTCACCGTAATCTTTCCTCTTTTATTTTGTATTTTTAGTCGATAGTGATGGATATTTGCACCAACTTACGCGTAACTCGAATAATCTCCTATTTGGTCTAATCAAAAACAAGTCATCTATGTTGAAACTAAAGTATTTGTGAAAGATAAATCTCTCGTGGCTTGACTTCAAAGAATTGTCAAAATTCGAATTCAAGATATTTAAATTTACATTGTTACCATTTGAACTACCTCTCTCAATTATTAGAGATTTCAAATTCATGTCCCGAAGTTGCAGTGAAAAATACAAAATACCATAATCTTTTGAAATCTACACTGAAATGCTATAGCTTTTGTGTTAGTAAATGATTTGGTAAGCCTAATATACCACGGTGAATATAACTTCTAAAATATATAAACGAGTCTCAAAAAACAAAAATAAATCCCAAATTTTATATTTAAAAAAAAAGCATAAAACTTGTATATAACAGTAAGTTACTAAAACAAATTTTGGTAACATAATCTTCTCTGCATATTGGAAGCTGGAGAGAGAGAGAGAGAGAGAACCCGTCCCAAAAGATATAAATTAAAAGGTTGAGGGACCAAATTAATACAATTCGAAAATTGAGGACTAAAAATATATTTTACCCTAATTTTTGTCTTTATTATTTATTTTTTTTATTTATCTTCAACAGCTCCCACCGTTTGCTCATCCGGTTGTGTGGCTAATTGAAAACCGGTACCCTGCCATCTGACATGGGTTGGGGGGGGACTTATGTACGGTGTCAGGCCGTCGCATCAGACTCAGATATCCCCCCACCCCCATCCCATTCACGTCTCTTCCTCCACGTTCGCTTCACAAAAAACACACACACATTGGTCCAATGGAAAATAGCAATTGGAATTTTATTAACGATAGTTGTCTCCTGATGCATGTGATTTTAAAAAAAAAACTGACAAATTAAAATGACACAAATTATAAATTCAAAGAATTAAATTGATACAAATTATAAAATTTGAGGGTTTAAAGTAGTCTATCAAATGTAGTCGTGTGAATATCTCTATTCGTTAGTAAGTTTAAACTATTGTTTTAGAGTGGATCAAAGTGATATAAATTAAAAATTTGTGAAATTAAATAAAATAATTTAAATAATGAGAATCAAAAAAAGATATACTTGAGCGGCTATGAACGTATTTTGTCCTGAATTGTCACAAGTGTCAGAAACTGCTGGTTTGTGCCACTGATAGATACTGCAGACTGTAAGTGCACCACCATTATCAAATTAAGATAAACTTATTTTACTCAAAAATAAAATATTGAAATCATAAAATTTTTTATTTAAAAATAATAAATAAATTCAAAATATGATAAGTAAATCTAAAAATTGAGTCCACCTCAAAAGTTAAGGGTAGGCTAGGGTAAGAGGGCACAGTTCCAGTTGGCTTAGGACCTGACTTCCTACTGGACTATGCCGTTCCGTCGATGTCATGCCATGTAATTTTGTGACAAAACCGTTTCCAAACCTCTCAAGATTCTCCTTTTCTTTTCTGTCAAAGCGTCTGCGCGCTTGTCTCTGTGCGTGTGTGTGAGAGAGAGGAAGACGGAGAAAAGGGGGACAAGGATGGTGACAATACGAGGAAAAAGGAGTGGGCGAGGGTTCTGACCTTTGATTTCCATTTCCATGCTCTTCTATTGCCCTTTACTATTATTTTTCCAGACTTTTTTTCCACACGCATTTTCTTCATTTTTTTTTTTAAAAAATAGAGTGAACGAAAAGATTTAAATCATAATTTAAAATTCAATAAGATCGTGATAATTATTAAGTCAACCATTAAATTCCGATAAATAGATTGCATTCTCCCATATTATATCTTCCCTCCTTTTAGTATGTCGTTTGCTATCCCTCCGAAGCATAACATATTCTATTTCATTAAAGCGTGTTTGGTTTAAATATTTAAAAAAATTAGATTAGATAAATTCGCTCATCTCATACCTATTCACTTACTCATTACACTAATATCTTTTGCCTAAATACATCCCAATTAAATTATTTAAACCCACAAAAAAAGTGAATTTATTTAAAAGATTGTATGTGATATTAATTATACTATTTATCCGGACCAAGATTATTTCTAGATGATAATACCAAATCTAAAATATGTATCCAAAAATAAGTATAAGAGGGATAAGGCGGACCCCTTTCATAATACCTAAAGCAAACACATACAGCTGATTAAACTAACTCAACCACATCATTTTATTTTTTTAAAACCCTATAACAGACAAAACACACACAATAAGCATTTTCTTTTGGGGGGCAAGTCTACGGTAATAGTGTTTATTGATTTTAAATTAAATAATTTACAATTATTACTTTATTAGTTAAAAAATAATTTTTTTAAAAATGCACACATGACACTTTTTTTGGCCAAAAATGATAGTATAATATCAAAAAGTACATTTCAGTAATGTAACACTACTCTTTTCTTTGTTGTGATATACTAACAGTTTACTAACCAAAAAAAAAAAAATTATATTCACATTACGGGGCGTTTGCTAAAACTATAAATTTACCCTCATAGTTTCTAAAATTATATTTTATGCCCTGTTTCTAATTTTATCCTTAATCATCCCTACTTTTAGAATACCCAAGACCCTAGCTCAATTAAGAAAACGAACCCAGTGTCAAACAAAGCAAATCCTCTTTCCTCTCCCTCATTTTCCTCGCCCCAACCACCACCATTTTTCGCCCCCAACTAAATCTGTCGCCCTTCCTTTCTCTTTTCTTTTCTTTTTTTTTTTTCGCATCGATATAACTTGACCAAATTTCTTTAGCTAATGGTCCACAAAATTATCTCTCAACTTCTATAGTTAATCTTTTTATTATCATCTTTCACATTAAGTTAGTTTCACCTTTTAAAGCCGGTCTCGCTTTGATAACCCACGGTTACCACACGTAAAGCCAAAAAGAAACGATTTTGATCATGCCAGATCCTAGCAAGTCTGATAATAGATGAGCACACCCAGTAAGGATCCTTGTAAACAAAATATAATGCCTTTTTATAGCTGCTAATAAAGCAGCTTATAGTACAATGAATGTTCAACACTCCAAGATCCTAATCCGTATATAAACTTCAATGGATTCGCCACACTAAACGTCACGCCCGCCAAAATATGTCATTTCCCTTCTAACACACACTAATCAAATCCTAAAGTCTAAATTACTTTCTAGTTTCCAAGTACAAGGGGCAGATGTCAGTGTGGCTGGCCTCTTCTTGTTTTGTTTACTCAAAATATATTTAAATATTGTATTATCTATTTTAACTATAACCACTTTTTCAATCTTACTCCAACAACGCTATCTATTTTAGCTAATCATTTCAACTAACTTTCATCACTAATTAAAAACAACACAGAATTGGAAGGAAATAACAGCCCATTCAACACTAATATAGACCCTCCATTCAACACCGATACAACAGAAACCGATCACATTAATCATGTTCCTAAAAAAATTGTATCACATTCCCCAATCTATCAACCAAATAATATAAGAAATCATAAATTATGCTCAAATACTCACCCAAAACCCACATAAGCCAAAGCATCAAACCAACATAAAGACACACACCCATCCTCCAACATCACAACCAGAAGGAAGAAAAAAAAAGAAATTAATGAAGAGACAAGAGAGAGAAAACCTACAAGCATATATACCTTGCGGATTGAAGGCAATTCCAAAACCAGGCGGATTGAAGGTAATTCCAAAACCAGCTGATCGAAATTTGAAAACGAAAACCCAAAACCAGTCTTCAAATCAGTCCATCCGAAAACCAAATTGAAGTTTGAATCAGTCCACTGAAAACCAGCCCACCGAAAACCAGTCTACCGAAGTCTGAATCAGTCCACCGTAAACCGAAAATCTAAGTCTGAAGAGGGATGAAGACGATGAAGCCAGATCTCAAGAGGGATGAAGACGATGAAGCCTTCGGTGGACTGATTCAGACGATGAAACGATGAAGCCTTCAGCGATGTGTTGTTGGCGCAAAAAAAACGAATAGCTAGCTTCTTTGCCGAGTAGCCAGCCAAATGGTGATAATGGAAAATAGCTAGAGTGATATCTAGTCTTTGGAGCCAATATTTGAGGATTGGCTATGTAAAATAGCTAAAATTGGTGGTTTATGGAGTCTCTTGGAGATGCCCTTAGAATGGAGAAGAGAAAGAATTGGATCCTAAAAGTGAATTGACCGAGAGCTTGAATGGGTGAGTGCTAGCACAAGAAATATGTTCACCCACTACCAGTCAGTCAGTCATTCTGGTCCCAAAGCCTCATCCCATAACTAATTGTAGATTACTAGACCTATGATTTGAAATCCTAGGGTGGTTCCATACCACCAACTAGTGATCATTAATGACCCACTTCACACCAAATATAATAGCATCTAGCACTAAAATAGGAGCAGCAACTACACATGATTCAGTCTTTACTTTATTCACAATACCAATAAATGCGAATAAATTACAACATGAATTTCAACAGATATTGAATCAACCACAACCCTCTGTCCTCTCATACCTATCGTAAGTGAAAATTCACAACTATAATGTGGTTTTACTCACGCAGTCACCAGAAAAATCCATAACTAAAGCACAGTATACAAGATCCCACATTCCAACTCAAACTTTATCTACATCAACTTACTGGTAACATTACATACCTTTGTTCATAAGGTGGCTAATTTGCCAAATGCAGATCATAAAGTAGGAGCCTGCAGAGCGCCTTGTAGATTTTTGACTGCACTATCATAGTTTACAAAGCCCATGAACCAAAACTCGTGATTGTCAAGGGAAATAACTTGGATGTATTTTTCAACGGGTTTCACTTTGCTTTTCGAAGGATTAACTGCTTTAAGCTGATGAATTGGAATAACTACCTATTTATACATTGGAAATAAAAGTAGCACAATAGTCATTCTAGTGAAATTAGAAGATGGATGTCAAATAAAAACATGAATGATTCAGGACTACATTACATAACAAGGACATGAATAATTCCTGACTAACATTGTAAATTTAGCAGGTGTAAGTCAACCAAAGACATGACTGATTCATGACTATGGGAAAGAGTAGACAAAGGTCAACCAGTAGCAAAAAGAGAAAGACATAATGTATTCATCTCATCCTAATCTAAGAAATTTTAGGAGAATGTGATGCAATCAAGCAAACTTCAAACATTCTCTGGCCCATAAAGATTTTCTTCTTTCAGAGAAGCCCATTTGTCCTGTAAATGCAGTCAGTTCATTGAAAACCTCGCATACATGGGATGACCAGGAGCCCACATTAAAGTACAGAGGTCCTAAATAAGTTCGAGTTATTTCCTCAAGGCCACGCTATAGATTCATCCCTATGATTGCCGATCGCATGTCAACAAGAGGATTGTCCACTATTAGTTGGGTCATTAAGAAGTATTGAACCCAAGAAAAGGAGCTAGAAAATATAGAGATGTTAAAGTGAATTAGAGATGATCACTAAAAGAGATCAGTAAGCAGCACATACATGAGATAAATGCACCTTTTTTAAGCCACGGAGATTCATCAATCAACAGAATATGCTCACCCACTGCTCTTAAGGATTTTATTAATGCAGTCAAGCTCAACCTAGGAAACACGGATATGGATACGGGATACAGTACGATACGAGATACAGGTACGACAAAATCCCAAGAAATAGAATACGGGTACGGTCGGAATACGTCTATAAATATATTTATATTTTTACTATTATGTAATGACTTGATAGTTATAATTTTCAGTGATTTTTAACAATAATAAACAACATTAACAATTTTTTATTTTCAAAAAGTTATCTATTGTCTTATTATGGTACATCTACAAAGTGAACGTGATAAATTAAAAAAATAAAAACCAACAATATTGTTTGTTTAGAAGCATTTGTTGCTAAAATTATAGAGTAATCAACTCATTTAAACTCTTTGATTATGTGATAATAGATAGAAAACACTCATGTGTCTTCCAAGTCATATGATTTTTTGTTAATTCATTGCATTATATGTGAAAACAATAGAAAGAGGTAAAGATTAAAATTAAAAATTACACATATTTCTCTGTATATCAAAGTATCCATGAAATATCCATATATTTTATTTACTATTAGATACGTTTGATGTATATCCAATACGTATCCTCGAGTATCCAACGAGTATCGTACCCGATACGGTATCCAATATGAATACGTCAACCTTAACGAAATATCAATGATTCATAGAGCTCAACTAAGCACCTATCAACAGCTCTGAACAGATCATGAGGATAAATGAGACTGTTGCGAGAAATTCAAGCTTCTAATAATATCAGTCATCGTGATTCATGCTCTGATCAAGAGTCAGAGAACAAAACAGAAGCCCTTGTAGCTAATCCAACATGTTGAACCATATTCAAAGGACGACAACAAATTATAATGATGATACTGAACTACTGGCATGAATGTCTCTGAAAATTTGAATGTGTGCAAGCCATGGAAATGACAGCAAAATGCACAACTGAAACAAATGTACCTTGTAATAGCTCCATTCTGTCTGCTCACCAACTTTGTATGAAAGAGGATTGTCACTGTAAAATGCAAGTTTTGCAGTTGACAAGTATAATATTCCCATTACTGGACCAGAAGATGCGGAAAGGTAGCATGCATATGCCTTCAAAAGTTGCTCCTCGGGGACAGTCTCAAATGTTTGTCGAAAAATTTTCTCATAGCCACCTTCTGCAAGAACTTTTGTTCCCTGGGCAATTCTTCCAACAGCAGCATCAGCAAAACTGGGGCCCGTTTTCACTATTTCAAACAAGCTCAGTATTTATATCGTATCCCAAAAGTAACTAAAGATGATTAGAATCTTATCTTATATGAAAAAAAAAATTTAACAAAATATTGAAATTTCCCCCAGGTATAAAATAACTGGCAATTGACTACGTGTATGCATCACTACACATATTTTTTATGATTTTGAACAATGTTAATTTAGGCGTAAAGCGAACCGAAACACACATCTTTTGAACAACAAAGCGAGAAACAAAGTGACAGGCGCAGCGAGAAAAGGCAAACAATAAAAAAACCAAGCAAATATTTTAGGCTAGTTACTACTAAGTATCAAGTTCCAACTTCTCAAATGCCAAACATTCAAATGCAACCTAAAGCATAAACATCTAAATTGGAACAAATCCCAATAACATGTCAAATCTCAACACCAACCAAAACATAAACATTAAAATTCAAAAAAAACACCCAAAATATTCCACATCCTAACATTTGAAGCAAAAAACACAAAATCAAATAATAATAAACAAATGCAAAGCTCCCATAATAATAAATCGTTGAGAGCTTCGGCAAAAGTAGAGCTTCAACTACATCTTAGCATAAGAAGAATTACACGCACCTAGTCTCTATATTAAAATGCACCTGGTCTCTATATTAAAATGTTTGTTGGAAGAGAAGAAAAAATAAGAAGCAGGTCTGGAGAGTCCTAGCCACCAGGTCATGAATTGTTTTTAAGAATAAATCATTTTGTCACATAAAAAAAAGAATAAGAAGAGAGGGAGGAAAAGGAGACGAAGTGAAGAAGAGAAGAACAAGAAAAAAACATAGTTGAAACAGGTCATCAGGTCGTGACTTCAACCCTCTCACTGTTCCTCTGCAATTGCCCCTTATTCTCAATCAATTTTGTTCAAGAAATTTTATGGTTGGACATACATACGGATCAATTGGCTATCGAATGTTACAGCATATCCAATTTTTTATCTAATTCATCAAATCTAAAGGCCCATAATCAATCCAAAAAATCAGAATATACTAAAGTGTTCGCTTCTCGCTTAAATGTGAAAAGCTGCCCTTGGACACTTGATCTTCGCTTTGGCAAAACTCACTTCACCTGGGACACTACAAGCAACTTAGGTTTGTCTCTGGCCTAGGCAATCGCCTAGGCATGCTTTCAATAACACTGATTGTGAGAATGACCTGAAAAAGAATCTAGGTCGAACCACGATCCAAAATAACATATCAATTAAGCCTACTCCTATTGCACCACATACCGGGAAAAATAACATACCCCATACCCGTACCACACACCAAATTGACCTGCAATCCAAATGACCATGAGTGGTTGATGACCATGAGCACAACCACTGAAAAATGGATGAAAAGCGCATCGAAAACAACATCAGCAGTTCTTTAAATAAACAAGAGGGAAAGAAATAAATAAGTTTACAGCAAGAGAATGTGTGTAGAATTCACTGAATGAAATTTGCATGCGGTTCCATACTGTAATCTCTGGCACAACAACTCCAAGAAGAAATGGATGCACAATTTAAAACAAACGCCATACTGCACCTATAAGCTTATGGCAAATTTCTGATTTCTCCCCTAGACACCCAATGAAGGTGCAACTACCAGGGTTACATAGAGTTGAGCCTCACAACTAGAAACTCAACCATACATGAATCAAGTTAAATAACAACCTACCTTGTACAATTTAAGGACCAGAGGTGAGTAAATGCTGACTGGTGAAATTTTTTTGCTACACTCAACACATTTGCAAGTGAGGTTGTAAAGATCATCCATGTTGTGTAAGAGGTAAGACACGCATACACATACATGTAAAGATATACATATAAGTGAAAAATAAGAGATTGTTCCGCACCAAACCGGACTCAATTTTTTTTATTTAAAAAAAGCATCCTTTTTTTGGGTAGCTTGATGAGGACAAAGCAAAATAGCCTTTGAAAACAAAGATTTACTTGCTACGGATACACTAATTACTGGTGACATGATGTTTAGTGCATTTTTCTGATATTTGGTGCAGTAACAAAAAAGATCGACATCCTTTAAAGTTTTGTGCTCTCAGCACAGCCATGGTAAATTAAAACCTTTCAGCCCCCATACAGCTGAATACAATAATAACTTACATCAGCCATATGAAGTATTAAATTCAATGGATTAAATAAAACTTTAACATAGCAATGGATCTATTTATAACAATTGTTATAAGCAATGCCCACAGCAACTATCACTTGTGACTTTGCAATGGAACCAATTCCTTAATATATCACAGATTAACATGTAAACTACTACGTCAATAGCAAGCATACAACACAATTCAAAATGCAAAGGAGAAACTTACAGTGCTGCCACATATCTCCAGCAAAACCCTCGGCCTTCTTCGTGGCCTCTGCTGCCTTCTTTCCCCATTTTCCAAGCACATCCTTCACCGTATCCATTCTATCTAGAGAAAGCGAACAAATAAGCACAAAAATTCCAAATTCAATTGCAATCATATTCCAATAAAACCGTAAAATCAACAAAACCAAATCAATCAGACCACCGAATAGAAGCAAAAATTTAAAATCTACTAACGCACTTACTCTTCATAGAAGATTGCGGCATCGGTGCTGAAGAAACGTAAGGATTTGATTCCTGGGGCATGGTAGTGGCAGAGTTTTCAGAAATGGGAGGGGGGCCTTCCGAAGCCGACGGAGACCGAGGACTATTGGCCGTCGGAGACCGAGGACTATTGGCCGTCGGAGACCGAGGACTATGGACCGACGTGTGTCCGGCAGGCGGCGGCGCTGGTGGTTCCGGGCCGACAGGAACGGAGGTCCAAATCTCGGCGGCAGGAGGAGTAGGGGGAGCGACGTCCTTTGGATCGAGCTTGGGGTACGGAGCGTAGTCGGAGGAGTGAGAGGCGTCGCCGACGTGAGCCTCCGGTTTGTCTGGCTGAGAATGATCGGAAGGTTTTGGGTTCTGACTCATGGTCGTGGTTTGGATTTTGATTTGAGGAAGGAGGATAAATCGAGAAGGTTCTGCTGTTTGGATCTCTGTGGACGAATTCGAATTCTTTGAATTTTGGGCTCCTTTGGGGATTTGTTTGCTGACAGGTTGGATTGCATTAAAGAGACGGGTTAATCTCATTTTGTATTTTTGAATTTTAATTTGTATCTTAAAGATCAAAAATTTTAATTTATACCCTCAAATATAGAAATATATAGCACTTAAAATTAAATTGATAAATTATACATAAATCCCCTCATGTTTATCACTTAATCATTTGAACTCTTTCACATTTAGAATATTACTCCTACATCTCATGACGTTTGTACATGTGTAAACATAACTACTTTTCGTTGATATCTATTAATATAATCGTTAAAAAATATGATTTTATTCTAATAAAAAATTATAATTTCATATTACCTTTTATTTTGTAGATTCGATATACTCTAAAATTCAAAATCAAGCTTACCATTTGAATGTCTAATAGAATGTAGCTATTTATATAAAGGAAAATATGAAAAATATTATATAAATATATACATTTTATTAGACATTCAAATAGTAAACTTGATTTTGAACTTTAGAGTATATTGGACCCATAAAATAAGGGTAATATGAAATTATAATTTTTTATTAGGATAAAATTATATTTTTTAACGGTTATATTAACAGATATCAATGAAAATGGGTTACATGTTATACGTGCATAAATGTCATGAGATGTAGGAGTTATATTCTAAATGTAAAGAGGTCCAAATGATTAAGTGACAAATATGAGGGGATCTAGGTATAATTTATCAATTTAGTTTTAGGTGCATAATGATCCAATTTCTATATTTGAGAGTGCAAATTGAGATTTTTTATCTTTGGAGTGCACATTGATATAAATTTCTATTTTTGAGGGTGCAAATTGAGATTTTTGATCTTTGGGAGTGCACATTGATACAAATTTCTATCTTTTAGGGTGCAAATTAAAATTTTTGCTTTTTGAGGGTGTAAATTGAGATTCGAACGATCTTTCGGAGTGTAAAATGAGATTAACCCTAATGAGACACACAAAAATCAAAATCAAAAATTAAAAAATGAGGGAGTTGTGAATGTGCTCGGAATCTTCGGTCATGTTTTGTTTGGTTTGTGATTCGAAAACAGTTTTTTATTTTCAAAATTTTAAAAATACCTAAAACTTGTTTGTTTAGTATTTTTGTTCTCTAAATTTTGGAGAAAAAATAAAATTTGAGTCCAATAAATAGAAAACAAATGTAGCTTATTTTCAGAGTTTTCTTTGAAAATTTTGAAAATAATGATAACAATTTTGGATGTTTAGATATGGGTATATATATATATTATAAAATTGAAATATAAAAATAAATTTTTTATATTTTTTTATTAATATTTGAATTACTGTTCAAATACATATTTAGGCTGTTCAAACAAGTTTTATTATTTTCTGTATTGTAAAATTGTTTTTGAAATTATCTGACCAAACAAGTTTTTTATCTAAAAAAATATCAAAACCACTTTCTTAAAACTCTTCTCAAAAACTGTTTTCGAATACTATTTTTTGAAATACAAACCAAACAGACCCTTCATGTTTTATGAGCTTTTTTTTATTTACTTAACGGTAAGATGTATTTCGATTAATTTTTTTTTTTATTATTAAAAATAGGTCATCTATGTCGAAATTATAAAATTCATGATAATGGCTTCAAAGAGTTGTCAAAATTCGAATTCAGAACGTTTGAATTTATATTAAACTATCTTTAATGAAAACTCAAACTCTTACCTAAATTTGAGAAAAAAAAAATAAAAATTAAAAAATTTGATTTAGTATATACATCTTCAATGGAAAAATTTTAATTTAAAGAAGAAAAATTTTAATTTAAAAAAGGATAAAATATTATCATTAAAACTTTAAAGGACGGTGAAATCTCACTATTAAATATTTGTGTTTAAAAAATGTCTCTCTTCATAAGGATTTAAAAAACTCCTTTTATATGAATATAAGTTTAATATTGGAAAAGCATTTTAGATCATTTTTATTTAAATTTAAATTTGAAAAAAAAAACATATAAGAGTTGGAGATCTATAATATAAAATAAGTCAAGTTTCAATAAATTCATCTGACGGTCACAAATAAATTCATCAAATAACCACCAACGTCCCTTTTAAAATCCTTCATATTACACCCGTTAAAAGATTTGAACTTAGCTTGTCCACTTATTCTTAGTTAAATGAGGTTTAAATTCGAGAGGGATAGAAGAGAGGTTAAGGACTATAATTTTAATACGATTTTTTAATATAACTATGAGTTTAATTTTAATAAATTTAAATTATAGTCAGATTGCTCGGTCATATATGTTTAATAACTAAATTAATATAAATTCATTTATATATAGAATGAACATAATCATACACAATTATACACATTACAAAGTGAACACAACATAAACCCATTTAATTTATATATTATAATCTATATAATAAAACACTTAACAATTTGAATTTTTATCTTTTACATATTTTTTTTCTCAAAAAAAATCACATCTCTCATTTTTATCACATGTTCAACCATTTAATATTTAACTAATTTTTAGTTTAATATAATTTTTATTTTTGACATTATTCATATACGATAATATACACATATTGAGAAAATATTGTTGAATTACATATTTTGAGAAAATATTGTCGATATTTTTAAGAAAATAATGAGTAAAAATAAATTTTAAATGATGTAATTAAAGAAATAAAGGAAAAAAAATTGTTATTTAATATAGTGAAATTAATTTTTTAGATGTTTAAAATTTTTATTTTATCGTGTCTTTAAATACAAATTATAACTAATTATAAATAATTCAGATACTGATTAAACAAATTTAACCCAACACGAACTAATATAATCCAATTCATAGTTAGAAGTTGAAAGGCAAGTTTCCTTCAATGTTGGAATCTTTATGTCACGAAAAGCTACATCTATGAGCTAGATTTGATTCCCATATGTGTTCATTCTACGCCAGCTTTTAATTCGATTGGAATTTGATAGCCCAAATGCAAGTTTGTCTTTTTTTTTATCAATAATTAATGCTTATCAAATTTGTTACTAAATTTTTTCGACTTTCAAAGGACCTAATTTTTTATTCCAAGTGACGTGGTATAATTTTTATTATTGAATATTAATGAGACTCATTTATTTGATAGTGAAAACTATGCTACAACACTTTGAATAGAAAACTTGGTAAGAAATCTTAGTCAGCATAACATTATTATTTTTTTATGCGGTCTGAAGTGTTAGAGTTAGTTTATGCGCAACTTGATTAAGTTATTTCTTAATTTGGTCAAATATAGACTATCCATGTCAAAATTAGAGAATTTATAAAAGATAAATGCGTGTTTAGATTGCATCTCGAAAAATAGTATCCAGAAATAGTTTTTTATAAGAGTTTTACAAAAGTGTTTCTGAGACGAAGAACTTATTTGGTTAGATGACTCCAAAAACAGTTTTATAAAATAGACAACAACAAAATTTGTTTAAATTTACAATTTCATATACAAAAATGTTATTACATTAAACTTAATAAAATGCAAAAAAGGAAAATTTAGCCATCAACTGACCTGCGTTGCCAGAGCTTCACCGAAGTAATCCAAATAACAAAAAACCCAAAATTCAAGATCCTTAACATGAATAGTTTCACAAGTTCACAACCTTTGGTGCACGACGGAGAAGACGAACCCAAAATCCAAAATCCAACTTACACAGCCTCTAGTACACAATGGATAAGATGAATCCAATTGTCAAAAAAGAACCATTCAAACCCGTTGGAGAAAAAAAATTCAAATCTAAAAAAGTAAAACCCAAATCTATAAAAAAAAAATCTTGATCTGAAGCTCTTAGTTGACGGAGAAAACAATCTCCAGTCATTGGAGAAGACCCTTTCACCGGAGAAGATGCTATGTGTGTGTGTTCTCGTCTGGTTTCACCGAAGTGGAGGGAGAGAAAATTGGGGAGAGAGACCGGCAAAAAAAAACCTTTTATACTAGGACATGTTTTTCTGCTAAGGAGGTTCGAATAGGAGACTTCGTTAATGGTTGTGTTGTTTCCTGTATTTTCTATTTTGGCTTAAAAATACAAAGAACATCATTTGAATATTCTCTAAATTTTTATCTCAGTCTCCACTTTAAAAAAAAAACTGTTTTTGGAAATTTCTAATCAAACAGTAGCTCTAGAGTTGAGACACAAAGAAAGTTCATCATATTATATCTTGTATTTGTCACATTCATAGCCGTTAAGTTTGAAAAAAATTCCATTCCCCCACTATTAGAGCTTCTTCACCCACCATTCATTATGTATTATTCCTTTGTCTCAAAGCACGTACAGCTCTGGTTTTTTTACTAGCATAGCTTAAAAGCCTACACCCAAAGGATGAGTTAAAAGCTATGCTTTCTTTTGTTCATCTTTTCCCACTTTTATTCTTCATCTTTCTTTGTGAGTGCTTCCTTGTATTCGTTAATAGTTCTTAACTTTATGGGTGTGAATGAGTCAACACAAGTTGAATAATAGATTTCTCAAATTCACTTTGAAACTTAAATGATCTTTATATAGAATTTGAGTTTAATTCCTTATTTTATCAATCGATTTGTGCGGGGGGCGATCTCATGCTAAATTCAAAAAAATGATGAGCTTAATATTGTGCTCAAGCTTTGCTCATTTTATAATGCAAGTTGACTTCAAAACGAACCTTGAATCCTCAAATAGATTAACTTGTTTTACAACCACAAATAACAACGCACAATTCATGAATACAAAATTTTATAATGGAAGATTTAGTTGTAGACTTCTAACTGCAATATAAAATGTATAAATTCATGCAGAGTGAAAAAGGGGCCATAGAACAAAGAAATAACTTAGAGTATCTACAATAGTATTTTTTGTTTTAGAGAGATTTTTTTTGAAATAGAGTGAAATACTTTAGATAACTCCAATAAACTCTATATTATAGTAAAAAAAATAGTTTTATAATTAATAGCATGTAATGACGAACATATATGTTTCATTCTTTCATTTATTAAAAATAAAAGAAATAGTGAGTTGAGTTCTCTAAATATAGAGAGCC